GGGGGCGGGAAATACCTAGAAATAACATGAAATAACAATGGGTCATGATATCCTGGAAAACAAGATGAAGGCAGGTAACTTCCAAGGACTGATTCAGAAGAACAAGATAAAGGCCTAAAAGCCATCCCTTCCAGAATATTTCTTACACAGAATGTCCATAAAAATGTTTACAGTTGTTTGGTTTGGTGTTTGTTTGTTTGGTTTTTTTCTTCCCTCTTTTTTTAAAAGGAACTGATAGACGGTACTATTAACAAAATGAAAAGTAGCATAACTTCTTTCACTTCTCATGCCTCAGCTCTGAACTGCTCCTACTCCTACTTATGATCTGTAACAGCTTCACCTGGGGGATACGCTGAGGATATCTCAGCCCAAGGGACTGCATGCAGATAGGAAGCAGAGGACAAGGTGGGAATTTATGCAATCATAGAGTTCTTTGCCTTTTCTGAGCTCATCACAACCAGACAACGTACCTTTATTAAGATCAAGTTCTTCATCATCTTCTTCCTTCTTATCTTTCTCTTCAGTACTATCTGGCTTTTCTGTGGAGACCCACTGTATCTCCCCACTTGTCTCTTGCCATTCCCCACTCTTATCATGCTGAGCAGTGGGAGCTTCTTTAATCAATTCGTCTGTCTGGCTCTCAGCCAGCTGTGCCGCTCGCTCACGCTCAAGAAATAGCTAATGGGGAAAATTTCAGAAGGATTTCCATTATAAATTAAACCCTAAACACATCGAGTTAATACTTGAAAGTTTATTTCCCCTTCACAATTCACCCCTTAATACAGTTAGTCTTCAATACTTTTATTAACAATAGCCTTTTCATCTTCAAAGGAAAATACAATATATCCCAGTACTAATGCTGTGCTCTACAGAAAAGGCCTCCCTCCCTCCCCAGCACTGAAGCAGTCAGCAGGCTCCTCTTGGGCATCGTAAATGTTTAATCATTTCCTTTGAGACACAGCTTGAAGACTAAAAGTTGCCATATTTTCCTGTCTGTTTTTGTTCTCTACCAATCCTCATTTTCTTTTCATGTTAGCTATCCCCTCTTTGCTCTCTCAGTTTTTCCCTCGATACATTAAAAGCAAAAATTTGAAAGAGTAATTTGAAATGACTTATCAAGGATGTGACTGAACCAACAACCTCATATTGCACACTTATATCATGTGAATTATTTCCCAAACCACCCAACCACCAGTTTTAAATACTGCTTTGCCGAGCTCTATACATTAAGATATTTAATATTATTATTTTTATTGTTGATTTTTTTTTTTTTGTCTCCTCCTGGACAATTATTTCACATAGTTAAGTAACTAGTTAAGAACTGCTAGAAGTGTTCATAAAATCATCTCCATTGAAATAAAAAAGCTGTAATTTCAATTCTTTCGTTTTAGTTTGCATGGTGGAACTCATTCACCAAAATTATTGGTGTATTTCTGGTTTTTAACAAGTTAGTCAATACAACATTTAAGAATGCTGCTTCACATCCATAATCATTACATCCATATTTTATTGCTTTTTATAAAGCATGATACTTAAATTTTTTTTTTAATTTAAAGTTGCAAACTCCCCAAAAGATAGTACTTAAAAAAAATAATCTATGGAAGCAAAGTAGGTAAGACAAGAGTAGCTTACAATTTTTACAGCTGGTTTAAAACAAAACGAGAAGTAAACCATTCAGTAACAAGAAAACTAGAAATAAACTGTATAGGAACAAGAAAGCTTTATGGAGCATGAGAGTAGCCTTTGGATGTCTGTAATAATGATACCACTGTCTTTTACCAGGAAAGCTGTTTCCGTAATGTACTGAAAAAGTCAAAACTGGGAGCAGCATCCCTCTTCCCCCACTAAGTTGTATTACTCAAAATACTACACAGAAAAAAATTCTGACAAATCTTCATAGCTGAGTTCCCCTTTTCCCCTTGACAGTCTGATAATGCGAAATGGTAACTGTTACAGGAAAAACACACTTCTTACCTGCACTAAAGCCTGAACAGCATCAATCTGTCCAGTTATCTTTAGGCTATCATCTCCTTCTCCCGTACAGAAGGAGTCAAAAGAACATGATGTTTCCATATTGACAAGGCAGTGCCTATTCCGAGCACTGTATTCTACTAGATTGATCAACAGACCCAATCCCTGCAAGAATTGGAGAGTCGAAAAGAATTACACGCATTAAAAAAGATAATTCAGCAAAAAACATCTATCCAGATATATGTCTTCTTTAGGCCTTATCTTTCTGAGGATACGTAACTTAATACACACCTTTATGAAACAGTTTGACAGACAGAGGGATCAGGATACGAGGCAAAACTGAGATCCCTGTATACAAGTACTAGTATGCAGGAATCTCCGTTTTTCCAATTCCAACTATAAAAACGTTTTTAAAGATGAGATTTCATCTACAGATTAGAGATTCAGGTGTTCAATCCTCACCTCCATATTCTTACAAGATTCTCCACATACACAATTCCACTGTTGCTATTTAGGTCGCATAGACCCATTTTACATAAGCTGAGGTTGACAAATTTGACGAAGTCTTTATCCCAAACAACAACATCCACTATATTTCTAAAGTTGAAAGGACCTTTGAAAATTACATAATTCACAGACTTATTTAGTTAAGTCTCTTTGTTCACCTAGCAGAGCACTTTTCTCCACCAAACACAGGAAAAATGGTTAGAGCTCAAAACCACCAAATCCTTACAGAAACCTTCTTTAAGTGCCTCACTAAGTATATATATATATAGGTCAATGAAAACTGCAGAGGCTGCTCGTTAATTTGGAATCAAAGTAGTTAAATGCACAAGAAGGGGGCAAATAATTTTATGTTAATGTAACAAATACAATAGCTTACCAGCACCCGAATATCAAATCTCTGTTCTTGAGGTAGGAACTTTGGAACCTGAAGCACACAATTCATAGCTGTGCCTATCAGACCATCTTGTTCACCTGTTTTTGTACTACCCCATTCTGTAAACAAAAAGAGTTTTGAGGCTCAATTTTGAAAATACACATTTTCATAATCGTAAGTAGATTCATAAAAACCTTTTGGCCCTAAAGGCAAACAGGACTCTCTTAGCCAAAGTAAGCATCTTAACACTTCATACTTGCAATCATTCATCCAATTCGCAAAGGCAAATTACTGATTCCTGTAAAGCAAGCATCTACTGTACATAACTGCTTTATTGCATTGTACGCAGAAAAACCATGATCAGTGTAAGAAAAGGGCTTACATTAATGTTTTATCTAATGCTTTAACACAGAACATGCAAATTTTTTTTGTTTGTTTTACCGTTATCATTTGTCAGGTTGAGCAAGACACCAATGATGGCCCTCATACAGTCTTCCACTGCTTTACCCACATGGTTAGTGACATTCTGGTGAGGCAGAGGCTTATTGTCTGGTAAACAGATACTGTCTTCAGCACGATTATATCGCTGGATTAATTCCTCACAATGCTGCAGCGCTCTACAGGGAGAAGATGCAGAACAAAATTACCTCCACAACATAGAGGACATTCCACCTTTATACTCATTTCACCAGGAAAAAAAACCTCAAATGCAGAGCTTATGCAGCATTTTTCCAATATCCAGATGCCCAGTCTGTAGGGTGAGATAATATACTTATCACCTATAGAATATTTCATGAGCTCAACTGAAACTGTGAAAACAAAAACCTGGGAAGCTTTGTGGCTTAGAGTTTTATCAGCTTGAGATTTCAAGAGCAAAAGTTAGTTTTCCTTTTCAACTTCATCACATGGCCTTACAAAAGATATCTTCCTACAAACCCAGCCTCTCATATCCTCTGACCGTCAAGGCACAACGTTATTCTGACAGTGTTACCTAAATGTTCTCTTGTTCTCTCCTCAGAGCTATTTCCATTCTGTAAGAAATATGTAAATGACACGCGACTTCCTAGCAGTAAAATCTTTATCTCATAACACTACTGGACCACAGGCATGATTCTAATGCATGACTTTAGCTTCATGTTAAAGCAAAAACACCGATTTCAATTACAACTAAAAATGTCAAAAATACACATTGGTCTAAATAGCATAGTAAACTGTCATTTGTTGTTTGCTAGCTTTTTTTTTTTTAACTTAAAGAAATACACAGAATATCTAACTTACAACAAGAAGGATACAACCTCTGCCAGCCAACTGAGACCTCTCCCAGATTGATAAATGGGTTAGAGGTGTTTCTACAAGCATCTTTGCCGAGGAGAACATCAAAGAACAGAATTTCCCTATTTTAATTCTTAGTTACCTTGTCAATTCTGTTATGCTCCACTTCAGTAAACACTTAAGCATAATGAAAATAAATAAATGTAGCTTCCCAACTGCCCTCTTCTGTGTTGATATTAACTTCGTACAGAAGGAGTTGAATCCACAGTTTGCAGCTTCTACAGAACCAACAATCGCAGCACTACATATTGGTGGCACTCAGGCAGTTACCCATATCCTCATCTAAATTAACTTTAGCATTTTTTAATGAAAAGCAACAGTGGAAACTGTGGAGTTCCCTCCCCCCGAATCCTCTCTCTCGTATAACTTTCTTTTTCCCCTTATCATGTGCGGCGGTCTGCAAAATTGTCCTTTCATTACCACTTACTTAGCTGAGGAGACTATGAGTTGCGAGTCTTTGTATGCTATCAGATAGCTCTGATTTTCTGGATTATGCACAGTTACCTAAAAAGAGGAGGAAAAAGTAATATTAAAAATGGGACTTCTTTCCTTGAAAGAGAAGCATTCCCTTCCACTACCACCTCACTTTATTCAGTTCCACATTTCTTTCACTTATCATTGTCCAATATTTCCTTGGAGCATTCACCTTGTAATTAATCACACAAAAGTGTGGCACCGAAGATAAAACCATCTTCCTTCATACAGTAAGCACAGAAACTGTGTGGCAGAATGTTCTGCCACAGTAGAACCCTGAATCTATATCCTGGGACTACAGCGTCCCAAGTGTGCATGTATATATGTATATGTAAACATATATAAAAACATAACACAGAATACAATTATATACATAATGTTATTTTCAGGACTTCACATCAACTACACTTCTGAGTAGTTGCATCCAACCATAAAAATCAAGTTTTTCCTTGCTTCCCTTGCCTGAGATTCAGAAACAATTCTCAGAAACAGTAAAAGTTCTTCTCTTAAATCTGCATGATTTGGCATGTTGATTTTCATCACCTCTCCAAAGTTCCTAAGGATCTTACTACATCACAAACTGCCCTTCAGTTCAAATTTGGATATTCTATCTACTACTAAACAAGGCTCTTCTATTGTTGCTTGGCAATTCCATCTATCACATACAAAAGCAGAAATTGGATCTGAAATTTTTCTTCTGACTCTTCAGAAGGCAGGTAAAGAGCTAGGTGCCATTAATTTTTAAGCAGGTACCCTTCAATTAGTACTTCAACAATTGTTCATCTTTCTCAGTTTTTAGCTTACTTTTACACTATCTTTGAGTCTGTTGTATTTTAGTGAAGAAAACAAGTTACCACTGCAGCTACTTGCCCAGTAACTTGGGTTTAAGGTGTTCATGAAGATTCATTAACCTGTACTCGGAACCTGAACGTCACTTTTTGATGCGTGGAGACATACTGCTAAAACATCACAACACTCTTCTGCTTGCTTACCATATCACAATACAAAAAGAGTAACACTAGTAACAAATACGAAACTCCGCAAAACAAGGCATTGTAAAGAAGCATATGCTCACAATTCCTGTTAATTAAGCTCTACAAAAGTACCATGTATTTTAATTCTGTTCAAAGTTCTCATCAAAAAATATTTATCATCTCAATGTACACATTTAACTGAGGTCTAGTTTGACTTTTAGGGCAGTTTCCTCTTTCAGCACTTAGGCAGCTGATGTTTGAAAGTAGCAATTCTTAAAACACACATCAATTTATTGCTTCTAAGAAAATACTGCTTTATAATGACCTGTTATTACTAGACACATAGTAGAGAGTCAAACTCATGCCTCGAAAACAACATCCATAAACAGCAGCTTTTTGTAGGCACTTAAGAAAAAGCATCATGTTAAATTCGATTATTCTTACCAAAAATACACTTGCAATGTTGTGCATACATACCAAAGGGTAAAAGAAATTTTAAAACAAACATTCTAGGAACACTGATAAACATCAGAAAGTTAGTATCTTCTATAAAAAATAATCAACATTTAGTGTTATTATGTAACTACATATTGAAAGAATGTAACATTGAAAAGGTCTGCTTTAGGAAAAGTGGTTTTCAGAAATGAAATGCATCTGCTCATACTCACACTTTCTAAGACCCGTAAACATCTTTCTGCACCCCATAACGAAGCAACCAATTTCTCTTCATTTTCATCACTGCTTAGGTGATCCACACATTCTTTAACTAAACAACAAAAAGAAGTTGTTTTCCACTATCAGTAAAAGGTCTTCAAAAGCTAAGCGTACAAACTAGCTAGCTACTCAGAGAGTTGCTATCGACCTTATTTTACACTTCACAAAAATCTAATACTAGTAAACAATGGTGAAGACATGATCAGCATTCCAAAGTTTTTCATTTCTCCAAGCAAATTAAAAAAAAAAACAACTTACAATTTTGTATTTACAAGTTTTGTGATTGTTGCCACAAATCACCTGTGTATTTTATTTTCTACTGACAATGAAGAGATTGTACAGCACATGACTATGCTCCTTAACTGTAATGCACTGTTCTGTAGAACAGAAAAAAGATACAGCAAGCACATTCTCCCCACACTTTACAAGTCTGAAACTGTGTGCAAGTTGAACGCTTCCATCTCTTCAATCCTTCCTTTGTCCACTCCTGTGCTTACTTAAGACCAAGCTTTATTCAGCTCAAGAATCCATTTTAGAAATGTCCCTTTTCCAATCTGTGAGATGCTGATCCAAAAAACCTATCCAAGACATATCTTTTTTAAAAAATAAGGAAACCAAAAAATGACCATTTCTTCTTGAAGGCCTGACTTCCTCTGGGATATTTAGTTAAAAATATCAAGCCTGAAAATAATTCTAGAAGACTCTAAAGGAGATCTTACTCTAGAATAAGCATGCTGTATGTGTGCTGTACAGAGATATGCAACACAGTAATCTGTATTCTGTCTAAGATTAAGCCATTTTTAATCTCACACATTATACACAATATTATACACATTCTGTTTAACCTTAAAACTACTTTCAATCCCACATGCAGCAGATTAAAGTCACTAATATTTCCCATTGACTTGATACCAAATCGTGTACTTTATTTTTAACATTGCTGAGAAAAACACATTTCTATTTTTAACCACAAAAAATGAACATTAAGAAAAACAAACATCTTAGTAAGATTTACTAATTTTTCACACTGTCAAAGCAGCATCTCCAATATACCTTTATCTACAATATGATCAAGACCACCTAGAAGTCGCAGTTCTTCTTTAAACCAGTCCCCAGCTCGTTTTGAGGTGAGAGACAGTAACGTCTCCATTGCCAAATGCCCGGTCTGAAAGAGTTAGGTTCCAGAATTAGTGAAATCATCATATGCAGCTGTAGCCAATATATCAAACCATACAAATACACGTCATACCGAATGCAGAAAACCAAAGCTAGAGGTTCTGAGTAGCAGGAGCAGCAGAGGGCGCAAGGATGGGCAGGGCAACGTTAACAAAATGACTCAGAACTCAGAAAAAGGTGCTTTGCCTTTTCAACTTTTCCTCCATTTTATTAATAACTTAGAAAACCCAAGCAGCCTTCCTTCATCTCTTTCTCTTGTTATCAAAAGAAGTGGAGGAAGGAAACAGACAAATCAGGAGAAAACCCAAGAAAAGCCACAGTGAACACTGGTTCTCTGTCTCCCAGATGCATTGGCTCTGCTGCTTGTAGAATACATTTGATTCTAACGTAGGTATTTTGTGGTTTTAATTTTGAACCCATAGAAGATCACTAAACTAAAACACTGTAGGAAATCTTACTATATTTACTGTTGGGTTTTGGTTTTGTTTTGGTTTTGTGTTTTTGTTTTTTTTTTTTTAAAAAAGAGGAATACATATCAAAATTCAACGACAGCAAAGGTAAGTTTACTCCCTACAAACACAAGTTGAAGAGATTTTAGGTGATTATCTTAGTTAATCCCCTGCAACATTTTTAACCAAAACTAACACCATTTATAACACAAAGACTGTAACTTGTTTTTCCAAATGCCTCTAATAAAAGGCAAATATAAATGACAAAACATATACATATGTATAAATTTACACCTACACAAAAGTGACCAGTATAGACTTCTGTAACACCTGGAAAACTCACAGGCAAATCTGGACTACTATAAGCCTAATAGTTTCATATATGGTACATAAATAGAACAATGAAAGGTCAGAAAAAAGCCATAAGATCTCATTAAAGCCAGCTGAATTTAACCACTCTCAAGTTATCTTCCCTCCCTGACATACCTGATTTGTAATGCTTCAAGGAGGGCTGTGCTTATTCCAAGCACATTCCAGCATGCCAGTTCAAACTTCAGCACCTCCTGGGAATACCAGTACTCACCAGGCTTGAGTAAACACCCCATTGTCTTGGAAAATCAAGTTATAAATCGTATGAGCCCCCCCAACATCTTCAGCTGCTTTCCTTGTTCTCAAAATACTGATTTCCAAGGAGGAAAAGAAAGTTGAAGATTAGTCTTGGTAAAGAAGAGGTTACCACCCAAAGTTAGTTATTCCCCTTTTTTGGGAGCAAGCTCTGCAGCACACTGTCACTGATGAGCATGGAGTTAGTAACCGCGTTTCTCCAACAAATGGAAGCGGCCTTGAATCATGAAAGTGTTGTGGGGGGCAAGAGAACACAAGCAGCAGCAAATCTACAATAGGTTGTTCATTCCTCTGTGACTCAGCAGCTTCTCAATTCCCCACCACAGACCAAACGAAGATAAAGCTGCAATTATGCCTGCAACTGTTGCACCACCTGGGAAACTGCCAACTACTTTTAATCGCCATCAGCATCTCATCGAGTCTTCCCACAGGAGGGAAACTAAACACACTCGGTTACTGAGTGTTCTCATCCCATCACTGGGAGATATAAGATTCAAAACCTCACACTTTTAAAAATTGTTCAGTTAAAAACACAATGCTAAAGGAGATGAGGATATTTTAAGCAATGGACAGAGAACTTCCATTCTGAAGCCAACTAAATGAGAAAGTGTTTTGAGGCAGGAGGGGAGAGCACCTGAAGACAGCAGTTTGACAGATCCCTAGCGCTCTGAAGCTTTCCCATCCTCTCCAGATGATTCCCTTCCCTTTTATAGATCGAGCTTGAAAATACTGTAACATGGGTATCTAAAATCATGCATAAAGTAAACCACATTGATAGAAGTTGATTAAAAACTCTCCTTAGAAATCTTAACGGCTACAAATGATATAGTTAACTTCCTAAATACCTTCACCATGAAAGCTCAAAGGACACACAATATTTAAAATATGGCGCTTAGTTTTCCACCAAAGGGCAATAAGACTTCAAAAAAACTCCAGCAGAATATAATTTGATATTTACACTTCTGGTCATAAGAACACAAATCTCAGTATTTTTATTTTTTTCTTAAATAAAATGAATCAAACTTGTAACCTTTTCATTTTGAGGAAAGTAATCCATTCTATCCAATTTTTATGTCAATTATTATGAAATTTTAATACCAAAGGGTCAAAATATGGTTCCCTTAAGCTTTCAGCCTTATGCTGTGAGTGAAAAACAGAATAACCTCTTTCACCAAGTGAAAAGAGAAGTCGCTTCTGAAGGTTTTCAGAGAGGAGCTAGCTGCAAGCATCAGCTACAGAGGGCTATGCTGACTGACAGGCAAGTGCCATTTGCTAGCATGAAGGCAAAGTTCTTCAGGTTTTATCTTCTTCTGAGCCAGGAAAAAAAAAAAAAAACCTAGAACAAATTCAACCCACAGAGAACTCCTTTTCAATTTCTAGGTTTACATTTTTAATGTTCCTAGCAGTCTAAACACAGAACCCTTTGAATACCTGTTTGAATACTCAAAAATTAGCCTGATCTAACTTCTAGATAGCCACACAAACAATATTGTCTGTGGAAAGAGATAGGCAGTATTGACCACCTTTCTTTGATCTGTGTAAGAATAAAAAAAAAAACCTGAAGGTGTAACCAGTTAGGCACAAACTGGCATTATCAAAACATCTGCTGCAATCCTTCTGTATCTCAGTGGATATGTCAGCGTCTGAAAAAGCACAGATCTTTTCTTTACCCCCAGAAGATTTGCATTTTTGTTAGCATTTTCTGCCTGTCATCTGTTACAAAACAGAGATTACTTATTGTATCTCATGACAGACATCTATGTGAAAGTAACTTTATCTTCTACACACAAAGTTCATTATTGTCTCAACTTACCATTGCTACTATCATAAATTGGAAGAGAACCTAATCATCTCATTTGGCTTGCATATATTCTTTAAACACTGTATGTCTCTAATTCTAGATGGTGCAGCTGGGAGGGAACCAGTTTCCATCTGTGAGGTACTACAGTATTCAACACATTACAACAGCTCGACATAATCTTAAGAAATAGAGATGCCTCAGAGAAAAAAAAAAAAGCAAGCCAGCTGCAACTGATGGCCTATGATATTACTCTTTACTCATGGACAACTTCCTCACAAGACAGAGTCCCTTTTGATATATCCTCTCCCTTTAAAACCCATGCCTAAGAAAACACAAGAACAGAATTACAGTTCATAAAAAACCATCAGGATAGTTCAGATTCTGAATATGAGAAAAGCTCCAATAGGAGACAGTGGCCTGTGTGGCTGGATGCTTTAGCAATGAGGAACCTGCACCAGCTGTTCCATGCTTAATAAAGGGAGCTGTCTTACATTTTATAGTGCAAAAGATATCCTGGCACTGAGGGACTGTCAGCTACGTGAGCTGCCTTCACTGAAATAAGACACTGATTACACCAATTCCTAGCTGATCACTACCTAGAGAACGAACTTCATTCTTTGTCCGTTTCTTCAGATTGTATCATGTGAATTCAGAGAGTAAGCTGGAAGTGGAGAAAATAATCTCAAATTCATTCTTTCTTTGCAGATTTCAAAGGCCAGAAAATTAATACAAACCCCTTACCTGCACATTTCGTAGGTTTGTAGGAAACAAACCTAAAACCGAAACAATTCTCCTTTGTCACCACAAACAGATTACCAAGATTAAGAATTGTGTCATCAACATTATCTTCTTCCCTCCAAATTTAGCTCTTTCTACTGCTACTAATACTGACTTTTCATACCAATTCAGCTATCTGTTCCGTAGCTAGAATTTTGGGATAAAAACCGAAACCAAACCCTTGCTAAACTGACCAAAAAATTCACGAAAACTACAAAAGAAAATGCCAGCTCCACAAGGAATACCATCTTTTAATCCAACCTAAAATGGAATACAATCTTAACTGCAGATTACTGGCAGGAGTTGGAACATTACTTGCAGAGATAAAAAGCTCACTTCATAAACGATAAATCAGAAGTGTCTCCTGTTGGGTGCAAGTATTACATGAAAAACGGCAAAAGCCTAGTAAGAATCTCTAAAATGTTAAAAGAATGTATTACAAGATGTCAAAAAAATAAGATCATACTAACATCTATTATACTGAAATATGGTGCAAGTAAAAAACACATGACTAATTTTTGCCATCTATGGCCACTCATCTAGTCAATCTGTCATCAACTCTTTAAATACACTCTTTTAAAAAGACTTGCAACTTATTCTTTATTTTTCAAGCTAGCTTGCTGTTAGCATCAAACCATGGTCCAATTTATTTGTAAACAAAACCAGTTCGCTCTCTTGCAGCTGAAGATACATTAATAAAAAACAAGTACGTTTGAGAAAGGAAGGAAAAAAAAAACCCATCCACCTTTATGGTAATCAACAGATCTGCCACCACACTTTGGGCAGAGAGAAATCAGTTCCTGTAGGACAGATTTTTATTTGAATGAATGGAAGAACCTGCACCACATTTTCAATTTAACCCACGATACTCTTATTCCCATATAGAGAATCCCTGTTGTTTGTGAACGTATATATATAATTTATGGAAAGAAACAACATCAAATAATCTAAACGTGGCCTTTAAACACATTGTTATTTAAAGTGTTACTTGTTTTTAATTGTTACCTTTAACTAGCTAAGCTTAGCAGGGGTGAATAGTGAATCAGACAGCTGAAGAACATCGTAACTTTATCCTACTAAAAGCCTTTTAGAAAGGAAATTTCAAATTTAAAGATGATACTTGCAGTGTAATCATATATACACAGAAGGTAAACAAAAAGTCATGACTCCTTAGCTGGGACATATGAGATTAAGGATGATTCTTACAAGTTCCATTTTATTAAGCATTCCACTACTGCCAAGGCTTTCAAATAAAAGCATGATACCCACCGTGATGTTTTCGAGATCAAGATGTTTGTTGTGAACAGTTTCACACAGTCTCCGAATTTTTTCCTTAATTTTATTCATGTCTTTTTCATTCAGCAGCTTGGCAGAAGAAGCATCTTGTTCCAATTCCAAAAGCCGTATCATCAGATCTAGACTAGCTCTGTCTAAATCCATGTTCAAACGATCTCTACTCAGGATGTACATTAGAGCTGCTGTACAAAGGGACAAATTCTTGGGTTGGAAGAGGAAAGGAAAAAAAAAGTTAGTTTTTAGTAATCATATTAGGCAGACCTTTTACAATTCTTAATAAATAAGCTGAAGATTTACAAAAGAAAAAGACTGACAAGTCCCAACCTAGGCTAGCACTTGCATGAGTACTTACTGTTGTACATAGATTCCTTCTAGTAAGTTACTAACGCATTCTCCTAACCGATACGACTAAGACATAAATCACTTAATACATTTACAAAATCCTAGTAGAAAAGCAGGGTTTTCTACTTTTAAGGGACTCAGTGATGCAGATAGAATAAGAAACAGTAAGTCCACTAATACAGGATTACAGAAGAGACAGATGGCAGGGGAACAAAGTGAAAAAGCACAGGGTACATGGCAAGGTAGGTGAACATTCTGATTCGATAGGATAAGCTGACAGGACCAGAAAATACAGATATCATGGGGATAGTGTTTGCATGTGAAGGGGGTAAACAAAAAAAAAACCAACAAAAAACAGCGCATGCTGACATATATTCCATTTCTGCCAAGCAGGTCTGTCACTCAATAGTTTCCCCAAACCTTTCCAGGATAAACACATTTAATTTCTGAGGGAATTCTGCCTTTTGGAAGTAGCCAGAGCACAAACTGCCCCATCCCCATCAGTCTTTAACAAGTAAATGTCATTATCTTGACCATCCCTATCTTACATAGAATTGGTGTATAGGGACCTCTTACTGGTTAAAGAATACTTAATCCTTCTTCAAGAAGGAATTAAATTTCATCTTCATGAGGATCCAGAAAAGCAAAGGCAGAAGGTGACTGTCAGGAAGGCACAAATGACAGTGAAGAGATGGGAGCAAAGCTATCTGTCCCTAGTGCTGGTAAGTACAGCACTTACACCAAGAGACTCATCTATCCAGGTGAGCTCCAAGCTATGGTAAAGAGGAGAAATGTTCATGGAGAACTGAGTTGTGCTGGGCATAATACTTTCAGAAATCTCTGACAATATCTGGAAGAAAAAAGAGCTGGGAGTGGGGGATGTGTGTGTGTGTCTTACTGAGTTCAGCTCTCGGGAATCAACACGCTGCATGCATCTATTCCAATTATTTTCTGTATAAAGTAAATAAAAAATTGAGATAAGCTAATTCTGGGATGCAAATGTTGTACAGTTCAACAGGAAAGAGCAGAGTTTCTGTATCATAGCAGATTAACATCTTGTTTAAAGTTCAACCAACCACCAAAGTGATCATTAGCTGCTTCTGTTTATTTCAGAAGCAAGTAACAATCATACCTGGTCATACTAAGCAGTATCAGCATTTCCAAAACAGGATTAGGCAGCTGATAGTCTATCAAAAGCTATGTTAAAACTCCTTCCTGTGTGAGTCAGGGAAATCCTCAGATGAATAAAGACTTTAGTCTGACTAACTACCAAAGATGCATTTGCAATACTGAAGGAACGAAGCAAGAGTTTCTAAATTGACATTATCTTTCATGAATACAACCTCAGGACACTGGATTGTTTAAAAAAAAATAAATAAATAAAATCTTAGCTGTGAGTATCACTACTCCAGCCTTATCAGATGTAAGGCAGAAAGCAATCTATGCGGCTTGTCTACACATACAGGATATACATTGTTTTCCAGGGTATACATTATTTTCCCTTTAACTTTCTCCAATAAACCTTGCAATTTTATCATTTTAATTACAGAAATTGTTTACTCTGGATTTACTTGCAACTGGTTTAAACTGCAAGAAGTTTCAGGTTCCTGGAAGAAGACTCTGTTCCTCCAGAGCAGCAGTTATTAAAACAGGACATAGGAGCACATGCATTCCAGAGAAACCCAAGGTTACTCCACTAACTGCTGCTCAACCAGTGTGGGACCTAATGAAGCAACATGTATGAAGAACTATTTTCTAGCGACCAGCATTATCTAGGTGAGCTTTCCAATGAAAAAAAAAAAGCTTAAGCCCCCAAAGGAGTTTCTATCAACTAGAGACTTTGCAGCAGTCCATAGAGGGAAAGTGCTGAATTTATAATCTGGGCTGCCAATATTTAGGCATTTCAAAAAGACAGAAACTGTTCTTAGAGGACTACTCAGAAATTCCTTACAGACACTCCAAAGTCCGATAAGGGCAATCCCACTCATTTTGTAAGCCTCTGTACCAAGCCCTTGCCTGTCCCAGGCTCCCTTCTTTGCAATCCAGCCGCCTTCCTGTTACACAGAGAGTAAGGGCTCTCCCGCCGCATAAGCTCTGTCAGCACTTCCCTTCAGACCTTCCACCCAGTTTTAAGATAATACTTAAGCGTGATCAGAAGGGACCCAAGCAGGGGACTAAGACAGTAAACGGAAGGTTTCAGGCTGCAGGAGAGCTGCCAGAAAAGCAAAAAGGAGCGGAGTAGCTACATGTAACAAGAACTGGGTTCCTGCAATAGCACCTATGCAGTAGGCAATCAGGCCAATAAGCCTCCAAATGCTGATGCGCAACAGGAGAAGAGTGATGTTGCAAAAGTAAGGCCCTCAAATGTGAATGATGCTTATGATGTGGAACAAACATGCTTCAGCTTCATGCCATTGATACAGGTTTTCTAAAATTCATTTTTCTTAGTCCCTATAGGCAAGTTGGTTTAATCTTGAAGATAACAACTCTACTTTTCGCTCTGATCATCTTTAAGTGTTAAAAGCAGTTAACCATGTTGTCCGAAGGTTATCTCATGTCCTACCATACACAGAATTCTGAGTTGAGAATGAGGGGAAAATTGTTAGTACAACTCATTTTTGATCCATATCCTCAAAAACCCAAACAAAACAAACAAACAAAAAAAAAACCCCAAAAAAGGCCAAACAACCCCGAACAAAACAACCAATGAACCCAATCAAACCCTCAAAATCCCAGTCTTACGGATTGTAGTAGTGAAGCTGTTTTTCTGAGTGGGCCTTTTTTTTCCCTGTTCTGTTCCTCAAGATGGTTAAAACACATTCGTTTTCCAAACAAATGTGGAGAGGAGAAAAAAGTAAAATAAATATAATTTGCTCTAGACAGAAATTGCATGGCATATCCAACTATGGAGTTGCACTCCATACTTCTACAGAATTCAGGAAAACATCCCAGTTGAACATATACTCCAGAAAGAGCAGACCGTTTACACCCACTCTCATCCTTGTCTTCCCTTGCTTGTTCTATTTATAATCCAGCCTGTGGGAACAGATGGTATTTGCTAGGGTTCAGCACTACATTTAATGCATTTTTTTTTTTAATTATTCACATACTGAAGACATTACAAAACCACATTTTTGTGCTTAACTACTGACAGCTATAACGAAAATATAATTTTTGTTTTAAAAATTAATAATACTCCAAAACCTTTAGAGCATAGCTGAAGAGACAAAGTCAGTTAAAAACTGAAACTGTAGCTTCAAGACGTATCTATAAGAAAAATTCAGTGGAACAAGTAATCTTCATGTTTCAGCCAACCACCTGACCACTGGGGCATAGCACAAGTAAGGTAACTGGTTATTTTGTTTTCCTTGCTGGTTAAAAAATACCTCTGCAACTGCTATTTGATATTCTTACGGAAATGGAAAAGTCTCCTACTTTCTCAGTCTATACTGCATTCGTTGTACTGATACAATGGAATGCACTCACATTTGTTTCCATTAGCAATGTCATTGTGGCAGTTTTCCTGACTCCAAAATACTTTAAAGAAAATATTAACAAAATAATTCTTCACACCCCCCCCCACCCCAGTCCTTGTTTATCCTAAACAGATTTGAGCCATGCAAGCAAAGCCTAGTTAGATTTATTATTCTTGAGTTACTTTGCACTGAGATTTAGTGGAGAAATTCCTATTCGTGTTGAACAAGTTAAAATTTTAGTGAAAAAACTAGTGAATGAAAGGACAGTATATAAGGACAGCAAGCTCATACAGAGAAGGTCACTGTTGAAGCATATATTGTCAGTAGTTAGAGCATATATTTTAGCATTTATTAATAGAAGTTTGATAAATCAGTAATTTTATAATACTGTATAACCTGTATCAAGAATACATTGTAACTATATTAAAACATTAACTACCTATTATTTTTTTCCTGACAAAAGGGAGCATTTCATCAAATATACTGAAAATAGTGAATATAATCAATGCTTTTTGTTACTGCAGACTAATAATAGCATGCAATTTCCTTTTGAACTGTATGTGCTAGTTCTTTTGCAAATGAAGGAATAATGGTAACTGTTTAAAGACAGACAAAAACGCACTGAGCAAGCTTGTACATTTTCCAAGGAACTGTAGCTGTCCTCTGCAGATCTCCTGCATCTCAGTGGTGGCAACTGTCTTAAATAGCATGACTATACTTTCCTTATTTCTAGTATCACTTGGCACTATTTTGACAGCTCAGAATTACTGAGTGCACTGAACCTGGTGCCTATGTTTTACAGTTCGCCATTGCTAATTTTTGAGGGAGACAGAAAATAAGCTATTTTTCTAAATTAATCAGTTAAAGCTCTACAGCTTTTTCCCCCACCCCCAGTAAGATGCCAAATACAACCTCTTAAATGTCTACTTCTGTGGGCGCAAAGTTTTTTTCTGCATTGTATGTCATTCTTCTAGAGCTATTAAATAAAAGTAATAAACTTGACTGGATATACATATCTACTACCTACTTCAAACATTTCCCATGTTCAGCTTTTGTAAACAATACCTCAAGGGATACCCCAGAAAGGCACGGTTCCTAACCGCTGGAAAAATAATATCCAGCTGCAAGAAGTATTTTCTATTACAGCTAAATTGAACTTGTAAAGTTGCTAAGAAGGAAAACCCAAACTGCTTCAAGTTTTTAAACTCTCGGGCCATGTTACCATAAGTAGTTAGAATTTACCTTTCCTAGATTTATCCTAGAACACAGTGCATACTCAAGGCATCCCAGAACTGCAACTACAGCACTGCTCAGGGAGACAAGCACAGGACAGGAAAAGTGCCCCACAACAGATACAGAGAAGGCAGCAATTCACATACAAGTCTAAAGACGAGCACTTAGAGCCATCTTTAAATACAAGGAAAACAGATTCCTTTCAAATGTATCTTATTTGAAGGAAATTATAAATACAACAATAAAACTATTTTCAAAAGCTTCAGAGAAGACAAATAGCAGCCAGTTTTTTTAAAAAGCTTAAATGATTTTTTGAAAGAATTTCCAAACTCAGAAGCACATAAACAGTTTAAGGGGAATTTGCAGGTGCTCTTATTTTTCACTTTGCTACAGATTTCTAAAATGGAGCTACTGATCCCAGATGCACACTATTCTGGATGCTTGACCTTGAATTACATGTACACAAAATTCATACACAGTAGACAGGTATCATCATACTGTAATGAAACACACAATGTATCCATACCTGATGGTGTTGGGAATCATCCAGTGTTTTGAAAACCATGGCTACCATCCCATGTGCTCTCAGATGCATTCGGAAGCTGGGCATGGCGCACTTTGTCGCCAAGCTGATTACACTAGAGAAAATTATTTCTGGATTAGAACAACTAAAATGAACGTATTTACAAAAATGGCAGATAAACAAGCCTACAAAATATGAATGACCATATACTTCACAGCCTGACAAACTCTGTCAGTATGTTTCTTCTAAAATTTGTATAGGTCAAGTTTGTATCTGGTGAAGACAGCAGCATTTTATTCAACAGTTGCTTATCAGCATCAAACTATGTCTGTTTTATATTAAGGCTGGCTAAAAAACAGGATTTGAAAGGGTACCCTGAACTTGCTTCTTTCAAACAAAAGTCGAAATAATTTCAAATAGTTGAATTGAAAGTAAAATGTTTATGGATTAAGCACAAATATCTGATTTAGAGGCACAGGAGAGCTTATTATGGATCAGGCATTATCAGAAATTATAAACGTGAGCTTCCATCACTAAGTTATCTACCTAATTGACTGATTAGTCCCGCTTATGCCTGACAATACTTTTACAAAAAACCCAAACATTTTCAATTATTTATTGCTGCATTTATGGTAGATGGAAACACTATAGATTTCAGGAAAAATCTCACAAATATATTAGTCTAATCAGTGATAAGTATAACAGTTGTATTTTTAAAATGGAAGTCTTCCCCTAGTTTTATTAGCAAGCTGCCTGCCATTCTAGCACAGTGCAACATACAGACTATTAAAAATATATTGCTTTTAAACGTGGAATAATGTGGGAGTGATTCTGCAATCAAATCTTCCACGACTACTGAGGAATCTTATTATAAAAGATTCATACAGTATGGTGTTTAAAGAACAAGTGGTCTTTCTGTCTCCAATCACAACAGCACCAGTCAGAGCTTACCTACCAGTTTCTGATTCTTTTACGTCTATTCCTATCCTTACACATTCATTTCCTTTGGAAAAATACTTTTCTTTTAATTTGTTAACTGAAAGAAAAAATTTTTATGGTGTTTATACAAGTTACATTTCATTATATAAATTTGGAAAGTAAAAAAGTCAGTTTAAGATCTTATGAAGCTTGCCACACGAGCAAATTAAGTGCACTCGATATGAAAAAGACTTCTTAACTGTCATTATGGTATTAATTTATTCTTACCAAACTGGATAATAGATTTCTTGTGTTTATATTCCAGCAACAATATTCATTGCTAGTTTTTGAGGAACATGGAGAATAAATCTTTAAAATAGCTCTGTTAAAAGAGTATAAAGCTTTTTCTCATCCATGGTCAAATCTCAAGTAAAGTGTCCTCATCACCTGTCTCTGTGGATTCAAGCTTTTCCTTCTCTACCATTTTAGTTTTGCTAAACAGAGAAGAAAATTTACAAGTATCTATTAAAAAAAAAAGATTACTACATGGTTACAGAACATCATTCAAATTAGTTTTATGTCCAGGGAACGGACATCAATATTAAGTCAAACTTTTTCAATGCAAGACTAACATGTTTGATACTAACTTTGCAATAATGTGTAACTTGAATATTCAAGAATGCAATGAGTAGTTCGAGACAACTTAGGGAAGCTTCCAATTAATACCGAGGCTACAATACTTCCAGTGCACACTAGCTATATTATTTCTCAACAGAAGATAAAGAACAGGCGGTTGGAGTTAACCAGTATCTCAATATTACATTAGTTCTAGATTATAGCCAGCAAACTTTCCAGTCTTAGGTATTTTATTTTAGAATTTAATTTTGCATTAAAAAACAGAACAGACATTGTACATAAGATTGCACTAAACAAAGAAAAGTTACGAGAAAATATTTTTTTTAATTTACAGCAAGGAAAACAAGTGTGTTGAAGATGTCTGTTACTGCACAATTTTCTATTTCATCTTCCTAGTCGTACTACTTTTGATTATTCACAATGTATCATTTTGATTATTATTTTCCAATTTTATTCTTTATAGCAGAAGTGCTAGGTAACTACCCAAACAACATTTTAAAGCATGGTAATTTCATTGATGAATATTTAGTTCACTCTCTCTTTTAAATACAAGTTCAGTGTTTTAGATTAGGATATCTTACCTAAGGCAACGTGTGTTTAGGGGCTGATTGCTCTTCAATCCACTTAGCAAGTACTCAATATCATCTGTGAACTCTTGATTTTCACCAAATTCCACTACATCATTGAAGTGCTTTACATGCTGAACAACAGTGTATAACTGGAAGAGACAGATATATTGACCTAGGTAAGTTGCTCTTGGGATTGATTACAACCTTACCAAATACAGTTTAAACTCTATTCAGTTTTGAGTGCAAGGAAACATTAAGAAGTTAGTGAAGGCCATTCAACTATTTAGACAGAAATATTTTTAATAGGAAAGCCAAATTTCATTTTGACACTGCTCCTTCAGTACTTAGGATTACCGATAATTCTTTATCTTAAAAATTTGTTAAGAATACTTACTTCTTTGTCTTCTTTCCTACATTTCAATGCAGTTACTATCTCTTGATAGGGCTGAGTAGGTATTGTCACAGTTTTTATCACTTTGGGAGGTGGTGCAGGAGCCTTAAAAACTCCATCATCTTTATGAATTGCCTCCTTTGAAGATAGCCTTACCTATTAATAAGAAAGTGCTAAAATGGGCAGATGTTTTGAGCATGTAAACATACACTAAATACATCAGGAAACAGTACAGGTGTGCAATTGTCAAACTCACATTCTGGGACTATTTAGTCCTTGCCTTACACTACCAAGATGTACCTAAGCTAGGTGATAATGTACCTGCTCTCAAAAAAAAAAAATAAATCCAATGTGTCGGAAGTTATATGCATTTTTAAATACAAAAACCAGTTCTAAGTAGTCAGGAAAGCTCCAGTGGAATTCTAAAACTAAAAAAAAAGAAGAAAAAATAGTAGTCCTTTACACTGGTGCTTAAGCTTTAGGGTAAGTAAACCAAGTTCAGTGTTTAAAAACAATTACTTGTTGATACTTACAGGTATCTTACCCCCTTACACTAGAGCTTCCAGTACTAAACTGGATGCTATACTGAACCATCATTAAGTACACGGGTCTGTATATGAGCACAGCACTGAGCAATCACTGTCTCAACATAGCCTGACCTGAAAAACTCTGCGCCTACTCTTCTCATCTCTAACTACTGGAGGCTACGGCACTACTGCACTCAGGGTGTAGCTATCAGAAAACCGACCTCTCCAAACCTGATACTCCAAACTGTATTTTGCCTGTAGGTATAGGTATAAGACTACCAATATAAATTTTGTAGCACCATAAAAAATTGCCACACAGAGAAACAGCAGAGGCATGCTGCATGCCTCAAACAGGTAGAGTATTCTCCGTACACGGGCCTTATTCATATTTGTGGTGTTAATATTTTAGGAACAACATATCATAGCACAAAATACAGCAAAACCTATTCTGAGCTTACAAGAGGTAGTAGAGAACTTGATGCCAGGTCTAGAATAACTACTGTCAAGTTTCCACAGCCATCTTAGTTAAGTATTACAGGTTTCTCCTCAACCTACTCCTCTATTAGTTTGAGGCTACTACAAGCTTATCTTCAGATTACTTCTTCGGCACAAATTCAAATGTGAAGACAAACTACAGAAAACAAGGCATACAGGAAAAAGACCTTCAAATGCCAAATTCTAAATGTACACGTGCCAGTGGTCATTTACTCACCCTCCATCTCTAAGTAACATCATCTACTTAGTTTCCTTACAGAGAAAAGTGAGATTTTTTTTTTTTAAAGCATGGCTGAAAAAAATAGAATTTATATGCAGGCACAGAGGATGCATTAACTGCTATTTACTCCAGTGGATATTTTGAGAGAAAGCCCTCTTGTGCATTGTACACTGACAGTCAAAATTAAAATATAAGCCAAAACAATCTGCTATATTACTGGAGTATTCTTCACATGCTGCCTCTACCACTGTGCAGTACTTCAGTATTTGCTCACTTAGGCTCCAGCAGCAAAGTGCTAATAAACCACCCTGAAAAGCTGGTTTAGAGCACATACTGAAGACTCTGATCTTATCAGTCTGTGAACACAAGAGATCCACTGAAGTACCTCATCCAAATCTTGGTTAATGGCTTCCTCTTCAAAGCAAATTCCAAGGGGGCTTGGAGAGGCCATAAGAGAGAGTACTTGGCATAAGCAGTTTGCATGCTATGGATCTCTGTAAACCTAAGACAAATTTATCCAGATCTTCAGGTAATATATTTCTACAGGAGTTAAAGAGGCAGGATCATCTGCGCAGGGATTACCACTGAACATTTGGATCAAGGCTCATTTATCTTGTAACTCTTACATTTTAATCATACACACATAAATCAAGGTTAAAAAAAGTGACTGAAGTAACTTCAGACGTACATGGTAACGTGAGGAGCAGATATAAACAAATTCCTCTAACAGGTTGGTCCAGCCAAACCTCTGCCATATTCCTGAATTAATATTTTGATGGTTCCAGTTATAAAGTGGAAGTTTGAGAGAAGACAAAATGGTTTGTCTTAATGTGAATGATTCAGACATTTTCCTATCCTGAAGAAGATATATTCAAAGGAAACGGTCTCAAGTTGTGCCAGGGGAGGTTCAGGTTGGATATTAGGAAGAACTTCTTCACTGTAAGAGTCATTAAGCATTGGAACAGGCTCCCCAGGGAGGTGGAGGACTCACCATCCCTGGAGGAGTTCAAAAAAACGTTTAGATGTGGCGCTTCGAGACAGGGTTTAGTGCGTTTAGTGGGCATGGTGACATCAGGTATACGGTTGGACTTGATGATCTTTGAGGTCTCTTCCAACCATAATGATTCTATGATTCTATGAAAGTCTGTTTGAGAAGACTCAGACAAAAATCTATCTTTAAGTTAGCTATCAAAGTACTTCACAAAAATCAGTATCAATACAAAGATTCAGTAAGCTACAAAAGCTTCAGTTCAAATGCACACAATTTAAATTGAGAAAGGGGTTTAAGAGAAACACATATATAAGCCCAAGACCCTGGATTCTCAGGGCCTCAAACAATTACCTTAAGCCTCGGAACAATCACTGATTTTTCGACAAACAGGTTACTTTAAGAACTGGTTTCACCTTTTGTCTATGTTTGGTAGATATGCTTATATCTGATTCATACTAGCATTTCTGGCCATATACAGCAAATTTTGTTTCTTTCATAGTGTCTGAAGACTCAAGTCAGCAATTCACAACACTCCATTAGAAAGCAAAAATAAATGAAAAATCTCTATTTAAGTTTTTCCTTTTTGACCCGCAACTTGCAGATTTCTATGGATATTAGCAAGTTAATCCTAGGGGTTCTCACAAAAGATGAAACGCGAGTCCGCCGTTAGAAAGCTTAACTTCAGCAGATTAGGAAACATAACTTGAGTGAAGTTTTTTTTTGTATCTGTATTTGAAATGATGTGGAAGATCCCATTCTAGAGTATTTCCACTGACAATTTCTTTCCTATGGAATACCCAATGGCTCACATCACAAAGTGGACTTAATTCTGAATTACTGTGACATTACCAGATATCAAGAACTTGAGTTTCAAAAAGTATCAGTGAGTCTTAGAAGGAGACTTACTAAACCTGAGTCAAAAACCAAACAGTCTACTTACTGGGACACTGGGAGTTTTCAAAACTGGTGGTGCTGGCAGAGCCTCTGATTCTGGCTGGTTCCAGTGTCTAGCATTATATACAGCTTTTGTGGGAGACTAAAGATAAAAATAAAAGTTATTTTTTAAGCAAATCTACCAGTAGTCACTATACACTTCAAAAATTACGGTAGCAATAATGTAGCCAAAGAAGTAAAATGAGCTTCATTTTCCCCCCTTCTGTATTCCCAGCAACACAAGTCCTCATTATCATATATATCATAAAACCTGAAAGACCTTGAAGCATCTGATGGTTTTAAAGACAGGCAGAACCATTCAAATGGCAAAAGACATGATGCGTACATATTTCAAGAATTTTTCAGTTTTTCCATTTCTTAAATTTTTTCAAAACCAAAAGGTTTACAACCTTCCTATAGACAAAACCAGACACCTATGGGGAAAAAAATGTTAGCAAACACCATATCAGTAGAATCAAAATATAGAATTGATATAGACTTGAATGCCTGGAGGAATAGAAAACACTCAAATGAAATGTCTTAATCAACACTAATAAATTAAGAAGTCTTTTTATTCTTCCTCCTCAAAAAAAAATGTGTCAAGGTAAATCAAAATGCATCAAAATTTACTGAATTTTTGGGAAATACAATATAATTCTTAGAGGAAGCAAAGACAGAATTAAGTTTCTAGCACCTGAGTTTACTAATCTAATTGCATAATAATATTCCAGGCTAATATATCATTACAATTTTCACAATTTCACCACATGCCATATATTGTGTAAGTTGTATAACCACATACCTCCTTACATATACTTATATAGCATTTTAAACATGAAAAGAAGTATTAAAAAAAAAATAAGTTGGGCATTAAAAAAAAAAGTCTGTCAAAATATAACGTATCAACTATTTAAAACAGCTACTGGCTCACATACAGCCCACAGAGGGGCTACGTGTAGCAAACCTAGCAGTACCACCTATGGATTTAACATCACTCTATGAAGCATAACAAGGTTTTGGCATGTCAAAAGCTAGAAAGGAGATTTTGTAAGTCAAAGAGTTTCTGTATTACTGTTAAAACTCTACCATCCTGCATCCTTCCATTCTTTACAAGAAGAGAAAGCTCTGACTAACAAGACTTTAAAGAATATTAGCAGAATGAAAATCTCAGCTATGAGTTTTCAGAGCCCAAAAGACCTGTCAAACACTAAATCATTTTAGTTTCCAGACAAGAGAAAAGCCTTTTTCCCTCCTACAGTGAGCTTTGATGTGGTTGTAAGAAACTTAACTTAGTTAAGCAAAGATCCAGTGAGTATTTTCTAGATACTCACTTTTTTTTTAAAAAAAATTACTCACAACTGTCCCACTAATTATCTCAGTGCATACTTAAGACTGGGAAGAGAGGGTGTAAGTTTCTGGGTGCCACATCCTCGTATATGGGATAATTCAAGGAAATACAGCACTCTCAAGTAACCAGCATGAAAGTACAGCATGTATTTAATATCAGTTTCAGCTGATGCATAATTCTTCTTAACCTTGCAGGGAAGTTTTAACTACTGCAATTCTGACACCAGTGTACTGCATTACAGCTGCCAGAAGTCCTGTTAACATAGGATATTCTTTATTAATAGTCCCAAATCTCAGTTATAGTCTCAAATAGTATTCTATCCCTGCTTAAAGGATACCAGTACACCAATACTCCTTTATTCCTGCCTGGGAGCTATGTGCTGCACAGAAGCTTTTCAGGTCTCTGCAACAGCAGTATCAGGTTCAGTGCACCAAGCAGGGAGACGCCACTGGGAGATGCAACCCACACAACAAGACCCCAGATTTACGCCATTCTCTCCGCTCGATGCAGGAACAACGAGGGCACAGACCAAGGCAGGCGCTGCTGCTGCAGGACTCCCATTTTGAGGAACTTCAAGGGAAGAGCGTGCCATACTCGCTGCCCCAGCACACCAAGCCTCTGCCTGTGCCCCACCTGTACGTTCCTTTTTCTTCAGGCTCTGTTCTCCGTGAGGAACCAAATGCAGCCCTTGTAGGGTGTGGGGGGAGCAGGGTCACACCGGTGTTCAAGCTCATCGTACTCAGCGAGGCAGCAGCTGGGCTGGGTCCTGGCCGACCGCGCGACAGGAACGTCTGCAGTCTTGGCTTTTCAAAATTTATCGCCTCTGTTGCGTATGTATGCATACGGCAAGGAAGCACAGATGACAGAGATCAAGTTCAGTGCTTCGATATGGAATAAGAACAAAGTACACAAACAGCTGTGCCAGCATAATCGAAAGGTCCATTATTGTGTTTTCTTCAGCAGAGAGCAACAGCTGATGCGTAGGAGAGAGTTCAATAGGGCAAACATGTAATGACAATTCTTTCTAAATACTCAAGGCTCAGAGGCTTCTCGAGTCAAAGATGCCATCCTTTTCATTTAGCAGTCAAAAAATGGGCTTTTCTTCCCTGATTTTCCTTAATCCCTTACTAAATCAAAGTGTTTTGTGACAAGGCACTTTACAGCTTGCTTAGGCACCACCAGTGCAATATAAAAGAATGTCGCATTTTATGTAAGAAACCAAGTAATGCCACCAATAACTGCCTGTTCCAAGAAATGAGGAAGTCTTCGTTCAATAGCTCTCTTGTAACAGAACCTAAACTGTAACTGAAAACGGTAATTCTTTAAAACCTCAAATATCCATGGAAGGTTAGTTTTAGCCACTATCCCTTGTAGCATGTTCCACTTTTAGATCAAAGTAATTCTGCCTGTGATTCCACGCCTTCCCAGTAATATTTCATTAGACAGTGGACACTGCTCCCCAGTATCCCTACCATCTGGTCCAGTATCCCGTCTCATGCTGATTGCACGCAGCTCAACCACCAAACACACCTGCAAAAATCCAACACTGCTTTCCAAAGAAATACATTCTAATCAGTTCTAACACACTACGCAGAGAATTTGGAGCCTCTCTCACAATTCACACAGACATGGCAAATACATCCCTCTGACCACCTCTTAAAGCAAGCTTCACATTTTCCCTTGCAACACAAAACAAAGATGAATTTCCAAAACAATTGCAAAGAAACCACACCAATACTGATCAATCAGGAAGCACTGTGCAGACTTGCTTTAGATTACCACGTGACAGAACGGAAGCCAGGAAAAGTACCAAAGATCAAATGAATGCTAGTGAACAAAGACTTTTAAGAAGGGCTTGATCACAAAAAGCAAAGGGGTTGGTTTGGTTTTGGTGTTTGTTTTTTTTTAAGGCAACTCAAATGCTTGTGATAACAAGCCCCCCTGAAGAAGCAACACTGATATTTAAGCAGCAGTAATTTAAGAAATTGACTTACTTTCTCTTAAACACAAGACAACCTTGCAATTATTCAAATAATGGAGACTTTTAAGAATTCTTCCTCTCAGGATTAATTTAGAATAGATGCAAGTGGAAGTACATCACTCCTTTGAATTCTATGTTCGTAAGGCAACTAAGTTCTGCAATATTAATCAGCTGTAAGAGCTTCTGCTGAACAGCAGAAGAGTTATCCTTTTATCATATGTACAGAACTGACAGCTGTTTACACACAGATAGATGTCTGAAAGCGTGCAAATATTCCAGTGAGGGTATAAAGCCTATTGCACTGTGGGACTCTGCATGTGGTTCTAGGGGGTGAACTGAGATGCAAACCCAGAACTAATGCTGAGGATTTTACAAAACGCATAGGGCTGTCAGTTTTACAAGATCATGTCCAAATGGCATCAACTATGGGACATGCTTAACCTCACAGAACTATTCATAATGGACTGTCTCTTTTGAAAAGGTAAAGGAATGAACATCCATTCAGAGCAAAGAACAAGAAATGATGCTTCAAAACAGGAAGATGGAATATCAGTTCAGCACAGGCTGAGCCATGTGTATATAACACCAAAAAAAGTTAATTTGGACTCCAGCTAGGATAGCAGTTTCCAACAGCAGTTAAAAAAGAGGCAAACCAGGACCATTTATTCAGTGTTCAAAATGTGAGCCGAATCTCCATTATTTGGATCACAGTAGCAGATTAGTGCCAATAATTCACCTCTGGGTGCCACAGACGACTTAATTGTGAGTTGCTGTACCATTTAATGCAGTACAGAAAAAACATTATGCATGCACATAGCTAGACAACTACAAGTTGTTAGTCAGACAAGGTTGAAGGGTACCAGCAGCAGACAACACAATAAGCAGGGGGAAAAAATTGTCACTGAAGCTTTTCTTGCATCAGACTTCTGAAGAACTGCAAAACGTTTTTTCTTCCCTGAAGTTCAAAAGGAGGCCTACAGGGCAGAACAAAATGACGGGTCAAACATTCAAGTGAAACACAGAAATTTAACTTGAAGGAAGACAACAGTTTGATAAACATGAGATTCACTGTTTAATAGAAAAAGCTAATGGTGTTCTGTATGCTGCTTACGCTGAGTGTGCTCAACACTGGTCAGAAGCAGAAGCCATATGGTTATGGTTACTAATTTGGCCTGAAACCTATGTTAAGTCTAATTAAAAGGGACAGGGTACAATACTTAGACACATCGCCACAATACTGGAAACATATCACTTCAATTGAAAAGAGAAAAACACCTGCATCTGCCTGCAAGTAACTGTACTGGCACAAACACATCCTTGTAAAAATTGTTAGACAAGATTCCTGCCCATTTTGTTGCTGCATAAAGGCAGAGAGAGAGAGAGACACACACACACACACATCCCTCCATAACCCCGCCTCCCCTCGCCGGTTAATCCTAATCTACTCAAAGTGTATTAGTCTACTAACAGGAAAGCCTTACAAAATTGTAACAGCAATGAAATTCCAGAGTCATATGGTTGGTGTGTGCATCCATGCACACCCACATAAGCATTTCCATTTGGATCAGTAAAATATTTTTCAAATAAATCTCCCAGATGTCCTCAGTTATAGCATTGTGGTTTGCTTCACCAAGTCTTCGAGTACGCTCACTAGATTCCTTTCCGATGAAACCAAACTTGAAGATGCTCTTCCAGAGAGCACCTACCTCACACAAGCTGCTACCAGGCATTCCCTAAAGCAACCAGAATAAAAACTTCTACATGTGTATACTGG